CTTAAGAGATCTGTATGCATTTGTGCAATATTTGCTGTTTAAATACATACAGATTTCTTAAGATTTTTCATATTGCAATTCTTGCTTTACTCAGTGTGAGTTACAGCAAATATGAATTATCCACTGTAACAAATTTCGCTTAGATCATATACAGGGTGTCCCAGAAGTAACGTGCCAAACTTTAGGGGAAGGTAGGTGGGGGGGTGAGCTCCCTGATAAACAAAAAATTTTCAGATAAAAGTGTCACCGTTTTTGAAATATTTACATTTTTTCGAATTTAAAAAAAATCGTGCCTTTTCATGTGTTTTCTTTAACTGCAACTACAAACCGGGCAATACTTAGTAAATTTTTTATGCAAAATACTTCCAGATAGTTGCCTCTCCATACTCAAATGCAATGTAGTTAAAATATATTAAGGAACCATCATAAAATTAGGACTATTTCTGGATTTTTAACTTTTTGATATTTTCTTCCCCAACTTTGACTATCTCGGGTGAAAAAAAAATGTACTGAGCTATAACTTTACATTACATAAAAAAAATTGCTCATTTAATAAAGATTTCAGATTGGTGCTACACTTACTGTTTTGAATAGAAAAAAAAGTTATAGCCGCTTTTGTGGGTAAAGGACTGAGACACGCTAGAATGTATTTAATAGATTTAAATTGAATTTGCTCTTGTTACCGTCAAATGACATGCTAAATAGTACAAAGGTACATAATTACTTGCTTCTGACATTATTTTATGTTACTTACCGGAATTCGGACTAGAGTCTATAACAAGGGCTATATCTATCAATATTTTGTGTGAAGGATGGGTTCACGTGAAATAAGATATACATGAGTTGTTTGAAGAAAAATGTATTCATCTATTGATAAAATATGCTCAAATTGGCGACCTTCTACTCTAATACAAGCTCGGCACCTTTTAAGAAAAGACGCTTTTAGAGATCTTAAACTCAATTGGGCTATCTCAGCAGCAGCTCCATTTATTTGTTCCCGCAAATGCTCTTCGTTTTGAATTGTTTTTGAATAAATTTTGTCCTTAAGACAGCCCCAGTAGAAAAAATCTAATGGATTCAGGTCTGGCGATCGAGCGGGCCACGTGATTGGCCCGTATCGTCCAATCCATCGGCGAGGATAAGTTTCGTCTAAATGAGCTCTTACTTCACGCCCGTAGTGAGCAGGGCACCCGTCATTTTGCAGCCATAGTCTTCGCCGCAGGTTTAAGCGTACATCTTCCAAAAGAGTTGGAAGCCGTTCGTGAAGGAACTCTAAATAACTGTGAGAGTTGAGCGTTGGCGGCAGTTCCACAGGTACCAATATCTGACAATTAAAAATACCGCACCATAAATTTATTTTGTACCGGTACTGCGAACGATCTTCTCTCATTTCGTGAGGATTGTCTATCTGCCAACTGTGAAGGTTATGTAAATTAAAATAACCATCCCGTTTGCATGATGATTCATCGCTCCAAATTATTTTATTAAAATAGTTGGGGTCTGATTCATGCATTCGCAACATTTCACGGCAAAATCTAACTCTCGACAGGTAATCTCTTTCTTGTAGAGCCTGAACACGTTGAATGTGGTATGGATGAAATCGATGGTCCTGTAAAGCTTTGTGAACTGTAGTTTTTGGTATTCCCGTCCGTCTTTCCATCATTCTCCCTGAAGTCGATGGACCTAGTTCCACTTCCTCTAACACAGCTTCAACATCTACCGTTCCAGGACGTCCTTACGACGGACCTTAAAAAAGTGAAAAATGATAGTTAACAAGCAATCAAACAAGAAAGGTGTAAAAATCACTTACCTTAATATATTTCTCTATGGGTCCGGGCGAATACTTCACGACCCGGATGTCGACGATTGGGGTATCGCTCTGCATAGAGTCTTTGAGCAGCTTTGGCATTACAGCAAGCTTCACCGTAAATTAGGTGAATATCCGCATATTCATGCGACGTATACTGCGTGTTCTCTGTCATAGTATTAATAACACAATGTTCGAAGGGTCCAATTTCACAAAATCCACTTTCACTAATTCCGGTAAGTAACACAAAATAATGTCAGGAGCAGGTAATAATGTACCTTTGTACTATTTAGCATGTCATTTGACGGTAACAAGAGCAAAATCAATTTAAATCTATTAAATACATTCTAGCGTGTTTCAGTCCTTTACCCACAAAAGCGGCTATAACTTTCTATTCAAAACAGTAAGTGTGGCACCTTTATGAAATCTTTATTAAAGGAGCAATTTTTTTTTAAATTCGATTTTTTTTAAATTCGAAAAAAATGTAAATATTTCAAAAACGGTGCCACCTTTACCTGAAAATTTTTTGTTTATCAGGGAGCTCACCCCCCACCTACCTTCCCCTAAAGTTTGGCACGTTACTTCTGGGACACCCTGTATATATGCTACTATAGTCGAAGATAACACGTAAAAATTTTGGTCCCGATTGAAGTCGGTTAAGGCGTGTCGCACAGGGGTCAAAATTCAGATTACCCTATGACGACACCTTAACCGTCTTCAATAGAGACCAAAATTTTGTATGTGATATCTTCGACTATGATAGTATTGATTTTGGGTATTAGATGAAAACAAAAAATTATTTTATTTTTTTGAGTCTACATAGAGACTAAGTACCACCCTAATGTACATACATACCCATCTATGATATTATTGTATGAATTTTAGAGTAAAATTTAAACTGATATGTCGCAGACAAAGAACTAGCATTTCAATTATATTTGGAGCTATGTAAATAGTAAATACAATAAAATAAATAGATTCATAGTTATGTATGTACTTAGTTACATATGTATATTCACAAATTCAAATGCTATTTTTAGTTTACTAATAGCAAATATGTAAGTACGTAGAATAAGAACATACTTATACAAGTTTTATGTTTTTAAGCTCAAATTTATGTAGATATGTATGCACATATTTAGTATATATGCATATATTTAGTATATGAAATGAAATTAATAAGACCTGCACGTGTTGAGAAGTGTGAAAATTAGAGCATACAACTGCACGCACAAACAAACAAGCACACATGCATATATTTGTACAAAACTATAAGTAAAATGTCTGAAAAAAACTGAGCTTGCATTAGAAACATTTAACGTATTTACTTCCGTGGACACTACTGCTGCTGGCGTGCCGTAACGGAAGGTAGAAAAAAACGTGATTGAATAGTTTTGATGAGGATTTGCATCTGACAAGTTTTATTAGAGACAACACGAAAGAATGAAATTATGAAGAATTAAAAATTATAAACTCGATAAAGTAAAATGTTGCTAAATGCTGTTATAAGTTTTTAATTTTTCTTAACTTTGCTTTTAGCGCGAAAGGGAAGACCATTGAAAATGTTAGAAAAAACCGCTAAAAGAGGAAAAACATTTTTTTTAAACATTGCTTTCAGGGAAAGTGTGAACTTATGACAATGATACACAATGGCAAAATAAGCAAATGAGTAAAAAAAATATAAATAAAAAAAATATTTGTTCCATGATGCCAGCGAAGAAGTTTCAACTTATAAAAATGTTGTAAATACAAATGAAAACTATAAAAAAAAACAAAAGAATTTGAAAAAATAAATTTTTTTTTAATTTGCTTTCAGCGAAAGAGTTTGAACTTGCAAATTCGATATAAAAACTAACGTAAAATAAAAAATAAATAAAAATATTTTTAAAAGAATTTTTTTTTTGTTCTTTGCTGCCAGCGAAAAAATTTAAACTTATAATGAAATAAATATAAATGATATGCACACAAACTAATGCTATAAAAAAACGATTTGTGAAAAAATATATTTATTTCTTTACTTTATTTTCAGTAAAATAGTATGAACTTATACATATCGTATAAAACGTAGCAATAAATAAAAGAAGTACTAAACAATTTTATTTAAAAGACGTTTTCTTGTCCTTGCTGTCAGCGAAAAATTTTAATTTAACGAAAAATAGAAAAATGTTGAAAGATTTTTGTAAAGCATTTTGGAAATTGAGTTTCTGCTGAATATTGCGAATTTATGTATAAATATTATATAAAAGGTAACTCTAAAAAAATATAAATGTCTGAAAAAAATTTTGTTTAAGAATTTTTATTGAACTTTTGCTTTCAGCGCAAAAGTTTGAACTTATAAAAATAATATGAGAAGTAACGCTAAATTACAAAAAAATATTGTTAAAAGAAATTTTTTTCTTCATTGCTGTCAGCGAAAGAGTTTGAGCTTTTAATGTATATAAATTGTTACGCTAAATAAGAAAAAGAAAGAAATTTCGCAAAAAAGTTTTTTTACATTTTTTTTTTTGAAATTTAGTGAAAAAGTGTGATTCTAAAAAATTTTATAAATTGTATCGCTAAATAAAAACGAAAATTGTGCTAATAAAGGTTTTTTTTGTAAACTTTGCTTTTACCGAAAAAGTGTGATGTTATAAAAGGCCGCGCTAAAAAAAAATAAAAATTATAATAAAACATAAATTTTTTTTTAGAAAATTGTTAGTTCTTTGCTGTCAGTGAAAAGTTGTGAACTCATAAAAACTATATAAAACCCAACGCGCTATAAAAAAAATTTCCTTAAAAATTAAAGAATTGAAAAAAGTGTTTTTTTTTTAATTTTTTTCGAAACGATTTTTCTGAAATTAGGTGCTAAAATTGTTTAAAATCTTTTTTAGCAAACATTTCATTAAAATATCTTGGTGATGTGAAAATTTTCCAAGATTTAAGGAATGAGAGTGAATTTTGAATTGAACATTGCCGCTTAGTTAAAATTCAGCTCAATTTACTTGCAAAAAAATGATCTAAAAGCTAACAAAAATAAGACAAAAATCCAGCAAAAACATTAAATAAACTAAACCAACAACCAACAAAATCTTCATCTAATTAATTAAAACGACGAGTGGTAGTTGAGTCAGTGAGTTGCGAAATTCAACGAAAGCTATTATGAAAGTGCATACAACAAGTCAATTGGAGTTTTTAATATTATTAAAATCCAAAGCAAAAATCAAAACAAAAGCATTGCAGCAACAACAGCTGCACCAGGAGTCACGGCAGCCACAAAAGCAGCTGTTAATTAAATTTTCAAGGAAACAGCAAAAGCAAAATCAACAAAAGTTGCAAACAAAACAAACCATAAGCACGGCTGCGTTTCAAAAACTTAAGCAACAACAAGCAGCAGAGAAACAAATACAAACACGACAAACATGAGAAACAACAACCAGAAAATCAACAACAACATCAACGCTACAACAAGCGCAATCACTTATTGCTGCTCAACCAACATCCTCCGCTGCAATTGTGCCATAGTAAATTGGCTTTCATAGAGCTGGCACATTACTGGCTACAACAAAAATCCGCGACACCGGTCAACGACGCAGTCGATACAGTGCCCGGTAGTAAATCAAAATTAAATTCTTTAAAACGGAGGGACTAACATTCGCATTGCTGGCGGGCCCCATGGGCCAGGCTGCAAGTATGTGCCGATTTCGTGGATGTCGCTACAAAAAGAATAAATGTAATAAGAATACAACAACAACGACGCAAGCAAATACAGCGGCAACTGAAGAAGCAGCAGCAGTGGCGCAAGCAGAGGTGCCATCAGAGGCAGCAGCAACAACGGCCGATACAACAACAACGGCTGCAGCAGCAGCAGCAGCAGCAGCAGCAGCGGCAGAACAGATTGCAACGAGTACGGCGACTAGTACGCCGGTGTCAGGTGAGAAGGGGATAAAAAGGGTGGGCGGAGGATATACGTAAAACAAGCAGACGATTGTTAGGAGCGTTAAACAAACAAATAGGAGATGCATAATTAACTTTAGGATTTCTCATATTGAAAACTTTTGCAGAAAGGCAAGCACGGCAGGTCGTATGAGCAACTTTACAGATATCGATGGTCCTCTGTAGGGATGCCAAAATATGCGTAAAATTGTGATTCCGGGATTTCGGGTTATATTTTTTAAGTAATCCCGGGATCTCGGGATTTATCCTGGGATTCACATTGAGACATAACTTTTATGAATATGAGTAAAAATTCAATAACTGAAAGCAATTAAACATACCATGAAATAAAACTATTTAAAATTTACGATAAATTGATTGCAAAACTCACATATTTATTAATACAAACAAATCTTAAAGTAATAAATTTTTTAAATTGTATTAAAAACCCCATGTGATTGGGGAACGCATACATTGGCGATCAAAAGTGAGTGCATGGTAGTTTTTGGCAAATATTTGCAATGCTTTTCAAGTTCAAATTTTTTCTGTTATTCTTTTTTATAAAATTATAGTTTCTGCTTTAATCAAAACCACATAAGTAAAACTTTCAAACTTCGTACAGGATGTAGAAAAATTCTTATCTAAATTTTTTCATTTAAATCGGAATTTTTAGAAAAATAAAAGAAAATTAAAAAGAAATTAAATAAATTTAAAATTAATACATATATTAATTAACAAATGTTTGTTTACTAAAACTACAATTATCTCTGAAAGTATTAGTCCTACATAATTTGGTATCATAACCTTTTTTGTAGAGCATTAAATTTACGATCGACGTAAGCTAAGAAATTTTTTTGAACACATTTAACTTTAATAGACTTGGGCGAGCCTAAGATATTGACCAAAATTTTTAATTTTTGCTATTAGAAATAGAAGCACAAAAAAGCGGATTTTCGGCCCACGCTGCTGCATACCCAAAATTTTTCTAAAAGTTCAGATTAAAAATTTAGATATAAATAGGACTGATTAATAAAAAAAAATTAAATAAAACAATACAAAAACATGTTTGTTCTACTCCATAAATAAGTGGCGAATTTTTTGCCTTTTTTTTTGGCAATTTACTTTACTCAACATTATGCTGGTGTACGAGTCAAACGGATTAGGCGGGTTGAAATACATGTTGGTAGGTGGGTCTGGTTAAAAGCACACACCCCTTTTTTGCCGGTTTATTATTGTACTTAAAATGTTTACATTAGAGCAGCAAAGCATTCAAAGCGGAGTCTTCTAATCTTGACCTGAAGTTATTACATACAAAAACCTACTGATGATAAACATCTTTCGGCATCAACACTTTTAGGCTGAACTGTCAAAAGGTAGTCAAAAGCCATTTGAGAATTACATTACAAAATATTTGAACTACAACTTTCTGTTTCGTTTACATTAGCGGCGCTATTAGTACATTCATTTAAATCTTCTTCAAAAAAGGCCCAGGCTGCAATTTTAAAAGTACAATTTCAAACTTTTTGTTAATTGTAGCCAAAACGGAATTTTACTAAAATCATAATTCAATTGCTTAAACAAGTTCTTACTGTCAATTAGATATTTCAAATTTTTCGGTATCCCGGCAATGATGCAAGCAAATCAACACGGCGTCCAAAACACCGGAATACGTGGATCCCGGGATTGGCATCCCTAGTCCTCTGCAATAACGACACAACCAAAAATGGAAAATTTTTAAAAGTTGGCTACTTCGGTTTTGTGACAAATGGCAAAACTGCGCCTCTGCCGGATTGGTAACAACTAAGCCTATGTTGATTTGCCACAGAAAAATACGGTTATTTATGATCCAAATCTGCCATATAACTCAAAAGCATGAAATTTTGAGTTGTGCCGTTATCGCAGAGGAACATCGATATGCAGAAATTATCATATTTGAAAAAGAAAAGAAATCTATCCTCAGTAATTGAACTGATAACCCGAAGAGGTTCAGACTTCTAATTACCTTCTGTAAAGGGAAACTGGGTGGGAAGTGCACTGAAAGGCCATCTGTATAAGCTGGGAATCTGATGAAATGATCTCTGTCACTTTGTTTACTCAGCTCGGTTTTAATGTGGACAAAGATTGAGCCGATACACTCCCTACCCCCAAATGCGAATCTAAGCATTCTGGTGATTGCACTTATAGGGCTTGACGAAGTGTTGTGAAGAGTAGAATGCAAATACATATATCTGTTTGATCAGAGTGCATATCTCTACATAACAATCTAAAATTTTTCTGAGCCTCAACAATGGCACGAAAATGCGGTGAAAGGGGTTTAACAACATTTTAAAAAGTTTAATGGGAATTAAGTTTTAAATCCCCTATGCCTATGATTTGCTTTTGATTTAAGCAAAGCAAAAATGCACCTACAAATCTGGCATACTTTGTAGAGAAAACTGGGCTTATGACAGGGCATATGAGTAACTGAAAAGAGCTTAAAGCTTACTTTGGACAGCGAAACAGTTTAAGAAACCTGAGCTAGTGACAGGGCGATGAGTAACATCCAAAAGCTGCAATGCCATTGCATAGAAAGTTATCCAATATTGCTCTTGCTCCCTGCTCGCAACACTTCATGCGCCTGTCAACGCTTTTCCTCGAGAGTTTTAACATGAAGCCAGTATATTCAAATTTTTACACATAAGTTTCGGAGTTTTGCTGAGGGCTACCTCGATCGATTTAACTCTAATTTGCAGACTCTATTTACCATTGGAGTAGTTTTATTTTCGTTACGTCATGCTACGTCCTCTTCGGTTGCCACCCGAATTCTTCTTTTCTAATTAAAATTTGGTACCTATAGCCTATGCCGCATGCGATTTTCTACAAAATTTAGCTACATATGTTCAAAAGATCTATAGCTAAATTCCCTTAAGACCATCAATCTCCCGTCGCGACGATTTAGAAACAAAACTCTTCATAAGTAAGTGGATAGGCGGTGAACTTTGAATTCTTCTTAGGTTAAACCTATGGCGATATTTCTGGTATTTTGGTCGCTCTATATTTCAGTTGATTCTATTTGTGAAAAATTCCTCTAATTTGTGATTTAAGGTGTACCTCTGATGACATAGGCCAACAAAGTTAATTTACACTCTTTCCTCTGAAGCTGCAGACCTGCCAAAACACGACATTCCGGATCGCCAGGGGATTCATTCTGATGTCACCACAACACCACCTGCGTTATGAGGCAAAAATGCTTCCCGTCAAGGAGCATAACACTATCCTATGCAAGCGGTTGCTAGAGGCGTGCTGCAGACGTGGGCACCCGAACAGACAACTTCTTGCTGCAGAGCCTTCGCCTAGGAACGTATAGGAAGCCATCTATACGAACTTACGGAAACTTGTCCAGAGCTTCATAAAACAATCACTGGACCGGACAGCGTAGCGTCAGTCTATAAACTCAACTTACACCAGCTCCCGACCTGCGAATGCCGTTTCAGGAACACAACCACCTGACGTGGACGAGTCAAGAATTCGTCTGCCTCGGGAGACTGGCACCTTCATCTACTACGAAAACCCATAATAGAGTTAAAAATACTCCCCACTTTGGACAGCATTTCTTGGCACTTTTCTGTCTTAGATTAGAATTTGTTGTGGTCTGGAGTAATAATCAATAAAAATTTGCACAGTATACAAGCCAATCAAAAAAAGCTACTTTTTAAGACAATTAACTAAAGAGTAAATATATTCATACTTTTAAATGAAATTAAATTTTATTCAGATATAAAAAATCATCTCATCTCCATACGAGAAACTAAAAAAAAAAAATTTACAAAGTCTCAATTTTCGCGAATAACTCTTGCTCTCGCAAATTGGATATCCATTGGCGCCTTCAGCACATTTCCACCACCCGTGCAGTTGCCATAATTGTTGACTTTTCAAGCTAAAGAACGAAAATCTACTGTCAACAATGCTAAGTGCACTTTACTATACACGTTTGCTGTTGCCTTTTACTGGGTAGACTACATACATATCTACATACTTTCCGCTTTAAAAGCATCTAAGATTCGCACATAAAAAATTATATTTGTTTGACAAGAAATATTAAATGCGAAGAGAAGAAAAATATTTGAAATGAAAAAAAATCAAGCACTTAAAATGTGCAAGCTTTGATACATATGTATGTATGTACCAGCATACATACATTTAGTATACATATATACATACATACATAAAGTGTGTGTTTTAAAATGCAAAGTACACAAAATAACTGCGCACAGAACAGTTAGTAAAATTTAAAAAAAAACAGCATTGCTATAAAAACAGCACGATAAAGAAATGTGCAACCTCATAAAAACCTCAGGGATGCGATAGAATGGGCGCCAGAGGCGTTCATAGCTTGGCTAGGAAGTGAAGAAAAAAAAAACATCCGCAGGAATAGAATATGCGCTGACGCATATTTTAGCGCATGCATGGCAGGAAAATGTGGGGCAACAAAAAAACTTGCATATATGAGCGCGAAAAAATATTTTGCATGCTTTTTTAAACTTTCGAGTGTGTGTGGATGACACTCTCGCACTTACAAATGTATGCGTTTATAACGCATATCGCCATCTATAAAAATTGCAATAGCACGCACTGCATTTTTGGCGTCAAGAGAATTCATTCAATTTTCGTGTGCAAAAGATTTTTCCTAACAAGGCTATTAGCGCGAATTGTAATACAGTTTCATACAAAAAGAATAAACAGATCTTTGGTAAGCAAATTTTTGGGGTAACGGTACTTTTTGCGAATTTTTCTCGTTATGCGGACTTTAAAAGATAGGATTTACAAAGGTGTCCAATTAAAAGAGAGAAAAACGAAAAAAAGCAGGTCCGACGAAAACTAAATCTTATTTCATGAAAAGTTGCAAGCAGCTGGGTTTCATCCAGCCCCAGACAAGAAGATCAAATGGAATTGTTATGCTGGCCGATCAAAGACAGGTGTTTGTCCCACGAGAAATGACCAGTCAGCAATTAAACAAGC